ACGTGCGTGGCACGTATTGTCACACCCCAAAATCGAGACATGATTAATAACTAATAAGTTTAAGAAAAAAGAACACAAATTAAAGAAATCGGACAGCTTCACTGTTTTAATTTCAAAACTTTATTTATCTTAAAATACGTATTGGAAAAATTTGAAAACTTAACATAATACTCTAAACTAACTGTAAAATATGCTTGTAAAACAGTTTGGTAAAAGATTTAACAGATTTTGAGTAATAACTAAAATAGTACAGTGTTGACAGCAAAATTTATATGCAACGGAAGAAACTTTAAAAATTCATAACGAAATCGATCTTCACCCGAAAAATATGAAATGTCGCAGTAGTCAAGTTTTATGAGTCTAGATTGAAATGCAATTGGAATCAGTTCGATCCGATAACTAAAATTGAGGTTTTAAGATATAATACAAAACTCGCATAAAACTGTCCAGGCTGTAAAAGTAAAATCATAACTCAGTCATTTCAAATCAAATTTCAACAAACTCTACATCAATCTGAAGCTAACAAGATATTCTGTATGAAAATAAAATATTATAGTTTTTGAATATCAAAGTTCACCATCGAACAGATGTTAAGATCAATCCAATAATGCATATCCAACATAAAGTTACATCTCAATATCCCAAATTTCATTCATAACCACAAAAATAAAATCTAAAGCAAAGAAAACATATTCACTTCAAGCCAACATCTCAAAAATGAGTTCTCAACGTCGAAAGGTAGCAATAAGCGTAAACATGAAAAGTCTCATAAACGAAATACGCAAATCCACTTCAAAACACATTCTTGATTCAATCATTCGTTTGATCTAACTTATCACCTGAAAAGTAATAGGGGGTGAGCAAAAGCTCCGTACAAATAATGATTTCAAAGATTTAATAAAGTAAATGATTATGCAACTCACAATGCATACTCAAACATGAAATACTTTATACAAAACAGTTTTGAAAAATCTTTAATGAGCAAGTCAAAATTCATTCCTTTCAAAGCTCACAGTTTAAACCAAATTGTGTAATGTACGCAATAGTCCCTTAAGGACTTTGCCCGTTACCACATACAATAGGTCCGGTTATAGTTCCTCATGAACTCTGCCCGTGATCACACACAGTGATCCTGTTATAGTCCCTTATAAAGTATGCCCTCTTTACGGGGTGCTACCCCGAAGGAAAAAGTTACCTCATGCGCATATTTTTTGTCCTTCATCGCGGAGCTAGTCGAGCCCAACTTAATTTTCCACATACACATCCCCCCAGGGGCGAGTCCACCCAAGGGCTAGGGTGGACTTAAGCCCCCCCTCACTTCAAATTTTTTTATATATATATATATATATATATATATATATATATATATATATATATATATATATATATATATATATATATACTAGTGCAGAGCACTGCGCAAGGCGCGGTGCCGGGTGCCTCGGGTGAATACGAGAACTTATCGTATTATGTACTTTCGACATACTTTCATATATTAATTTTGAGGATTTTTTTTTACGATTAGCTAAAATTTGTGTCGAATGTGGTGATGGGAAGAGACGATTTGAAGTTGTCTACGGAGGGTAGTGTGGGGTCCACTCCCTTAGAAACAAGGGAATTTGCTAGTGCACTAATGATTGTCAAAATACAAACTCGTTTCTGTGTTAACAAAGCTAATTAATCAGGAGTTAATTTTCTTCCTTCCGTTAAAGGCTACTTGAATGAAGGCGCGTGCGATGCGAAATAGGTATATACTATAGGGGACCAAAAATCGTAAAAATTGATAGATTTGTTGATATTTAAGATTTATTTTAACATTTGAATCGACATAGATATGAATGAATTGAACCGTAAGATTTGAATCATGAATCATAAGGTTTTATGCTCGGTATTGCGAATTCTCGTAAATTTGGCGGATATTTTGGATATTGAAAGAGAGATCCACTCTGGGGTCAAATTTGCAATTTGGGTAGAGCGGGTAGGAAGATGTAGTAAGTATAAGGGTGATTCTGCAATTTCAAAACTGTTTGAGCTAGAGAGGTAGATTTTTGGAAATTACAAATTGAGCTCCACTTGGGGGCATTTCCGGTTTAAGGAACAAAATAAAAAATGGTACATAATATAGTGACAAAATGTAATTATCACAAGCTTATTATAAATAATATAATAAATTAAAGTTTTCATAAATCGTAAGTTGTAAAATTTGATTGTTTTGTTGATATTTAAGATTTATTTTAACTTTTAAATTTACTTAGGTATGAACGAATTGAATCGTAAGAATTGACCCACTTTGGGGTTAAATTTGCAATTTGGGTAGAGCGGGTGGGAAGATGGAGTAAGTATAGGGGTGATTCTCCAATTTTCAAAATTGTTTCAGTCAGCGAGATGGATTTCTAGAAATTAAAAATTGACTGCTACTGGGGTACATTTCTGGTTTAAGGAACAAAATAAAAAAAAAAAAAAAAAAAAAAAAAAGGTATACTTATATAGGGACCAAAAATCGAAAAATTTGATCGATTAATTGATATTTAAGATTTATTTTAACATTTCAATCGACATAGATATGACTGAATTGAATCGTAAATCATAAGATTTTGTGCTCGGTATTGTGAATTTTCGTAAATGTGGCGGATATTTTGAATAGTGAAAGAGAGATCTACTTTGGGGTCAAATTTGCAATTTGGGTGGAGCTAGAAAGATGGAGCAAGTATATGGGTGATTCTGCAATTTTCAGAACTATTTTAGCCAGGGAGGTGGATTTTCGGAAATTACAAATTGACCTTCACTTGGGGGGGCACGGTTTAAGGACCGATATTAAAAATGGTATATAATACAGGGACCAACTCTGTAATTATCATAAGTTTATTAAAACTAATATAATAAATTAAAGTTTTCTTCAATCTGAAATCGTAAAATGTAATCGTTTTGTTGATATTTAAGATTTATTTTTACTTTTGAATCGACTTAGGTATGAATGAATTGAATTGTAAGATTTGAATCTTAAATCATAAGATTTTAAACTAGATATTGCGAATTTTCGTAAATGAGTCACACGCGATTATAGTTGAGGAGGAGTAGAAGCATACTGCGTTGGTGGCGAGTATTTCGGATATTGCAAGAGAGATCCACTTTGCGATTAAATCTGTAATTTGGGTGGAGCGGCTGGGAAGATGGGGTAAGTATAGGGGTGATTCTTCAATTTTCAAAATTGTTTCAGCCAGGGAGGTGGATTTCCAGAAATTACATTTCTGGTTTATGGACCAAAAATAAAAAAGGTATATTATATAGGGACCAAAATTCGTAAAATTTGATCGATTTGTTGATATTTGAGATTTATTTAAAGATTTGAATCGTAAGATTTGAATCGTAAATCATAAGATTTTATGCTCGGAATTGAGAATTTTCATAAATGTGGCGGAAATTTTGGATGTTGAAAGAGAGATCCACTTTGGGGTCAAATTTGTAATTTGGGTGGAGCGGCTAGGAAGATGGAGTAAGTATCTGGGTGATTCTGCAATTTTCAGAGCTATTTAGACAGGGAGATGAATTTTCAGAAATTAGTAATTGACCTCCACTTGGGGGCATTTCCGGTTTAAGGACCAAAATAAAAAATTGTGTATAATATAGGGACAAAAACTGTAATTATCGCAAGTTTATTATAAATAATATAATAAATTAAAGTTTTCTTAAATCATAAATTGTAAAATTTGATTGTTTTGTTGTTATTTAAGATTTATTTTAACTTTTGAATCGACTTAGGTATGAACGAATTGAATCGTAAGAATTGAATCACACATCATAAACTCGGTATTGCGAATTTTCGTAAGTGAGTCACACGCGATTATACATGGGGAGGCATACTGCATTGGCGGCAGATATTTCGAATATTGCAAGAGAGATCCACTTTGGGATTAAATTTGCAATTTGGGTAGAATGGGTGGGAAGATGGAGTAAGTATAGGGGTGATTCTACAACTTTCAAAACTATTTCAGTCAGCGAGGTGGATTTCCGGAAATTACAAAATAACCCCAACTGGGTGCATTTCTGGTTTAAAGAACAAAATTTAAAAAAAGCATAATAATACAGGGACCAAAAATCGTAAAATTTGATTGATTAATTGATATTTAAGATTTATTTTAACATTTCAATGGACATAGATATGACTGAACTGAATCGTAAGATTTGAATCATAAATCATAAGATTTTGTGCTCCGTATTGCGAATTTTCGTAACTGTGGCGGATATTTTGAATAGTGAAACAGAGATCCACTCTGGGTTCAAATTTTCAATTTGGGTGGATCAGCTAGGAAAATGGAGTAAGTATAGGGGTGATTCTGCAATTTTCAGAATTGTTTTAGCCAGGGAGGTGAATTTTTGAAAATTACAAATTAACCTCCACTTGGGGGCATTTCCGATTTAAGGACCGATATTAAAAATGGTATATAATACAGGGACTAAATCTGTAATTATCACAAGTTTATTAAAAATAATATAATAAATTAAAGTTTTCTTCAATCTTAAATCATAAAATGTAATCGTTTTGTTGATATTTAAGATTTATTTTTACTTTTAAATCAACTTAGGTATGAACGAATTGAATTGTAAGATTTGAATCGTAAATCACAAGATTTTAAACTCGGTATTGTGAATTTTCGTAAATAAGTCACACGCAATTATAGTTCAGGAGGAGTAGAAGTAAATAAGTCACACGCAATTATAGTTCAGGAGGAGTAGAAGCATACTGCGTTGGTGGCGGTTATATTTAATAAAATTGGGGAAATTGGGTTTTACGGGAAATTGCAAAAAATGATGACATTGACTTGAATGAAATGGTTGAGTGCAATATTCACGACTTTAGATGCCAGGGTGGGCAACTATAATGATATTGAGCTTTAATCGTCTCTCTGATTGTAGAAAGAAGCCCCAAAATAAATGAGTCAATACTTGATTAGAGAGAGATAGCTAAAATAAAAAGATAAATGTTCGTTACTTCGCTACACTGAGACCAAACTGTCGCTCTTCCATTGAACAAAAAGTGTGCGAACAAATTACGCATCAGAAACGACGAAGAAAGACAAAAAGAAAAAAGTAGTATATAAACTACACAGACGGACGACGATTTTTACAGGTCAAAATAGCCCAAAAAACTATACTCTACATAGTAATAAAATTATTGCATAAAATCAAAGAAACAAACCAAACATTTATCCAGATGTGGAACATGTTCTCTGCAAGGGTTCCTCCAGGCTCGGGTTCTCCAATAATAATTTGTAATTATATTTGTTATCAGTAAACAGGAGAAATTAAAAAATCAAGGAGGTCGAGAAACTATGCGATTGCCGAAAATGCTAGGTTGATAAAGAAACATCAACTTAATTTGTACTAAAAAGTGCCTCCGCATAGGAACTCGGTCTTGGTGAGAACCTGGTGGCGATTGCTGAAGATAAACATAAGTTGACTACCGAATAGAGAGTCATATTTATCAAGGAAGAAAGCAAGTCGATCATACATAATTTTTTGACCAACTGAGAAACCATTATCAACATTCCGACTTTTTTTGAACACAATCACAGTCAAGATTTTGGAACACAACATCCCTATTTTCGGAACAGAGAAAAGCATGGACTCGATGAAAATGAATTGATTACATCAACGAGTAATAGAAACAAGAACTCATGAACTGAATTAAAATCTGACCTTTATAATACTGGTTTTCGGTCACAACCAATCTCCGTCAACTTTCTCATCGAACAACTCACACAATTTCTACAAACATCAAAACAGTAAGATCATATTAACTTAGAAAAATGAAAGTCAGATCTGAAAACTAAAATCAACCATAGTAAACCGTAAGAAAAAACTACAGATATTAGAGTCAAAGTTCAAAAAAAATTATAAAAAAAAGTCTGACATCATACCACATCATCTAAAGCGCACAACTACTCGTCGAAGTGGCGCTATCAACAAACGTGGCCGAACTCATCCATCTAACAAATCCGCAATGCCCTGAACACACATTCCACCAAATCTTTAGGAAAAAATAGTTCAGATACAACATCAGTAAAGAACATTTAACAGTAGCGAATAAAATTAGCTATATATCTATAAGAAAAAGAGTTCAGATACAACAGCACGGTAAGTACATTAAACAAGAAGCAGACATGCTTTATCATCAATTAGTCGAACAATAACATTGATAATAGAATCGCGCCATCTGCTCTCATCCGCTGCAACAAGAATTACTTCAATGTTGATAGAAACCAAATTTTGATCTAAAAATGTATGAAGGGGATCATGAAAATGCGCGGGCACGCCACTGCCGCTGGTGGGTTTCTTGATATATACAATCCTAGAGCGACGAAAATAAGTATTCAAGACAAAAATGTCGACACCCGTCCAGTACTTGACATGCCTGGCTCATGAAAATGCCCGAGGGAAAAAACCTGTAAACACAAAGAATGCAATCAGAGAATAAAAGATCATACCGAATTAAAAATCGAGAGAAAATCTAGACGAAAATGAAAATAAAAGCACATACCTATCACAATATGAACACCCAAGTACACGGAAAAATAAATTTAAAATAGGAACAAACATAACAAAATGCAAGAGAGAGAAAGAGAACATACTGATAATTTATGAAAAAAAAAAGAGAATAACTAACAACAATTTTTTATATCACTGTAGAGCGAGAGTATAGATAAATATAATATTTGTTTCGAGCAAAATATGGCAACACCTGCAAACGTAAGATCTCCACAAACTTGAACGCCTGCTGAAATAAATAACGGAAAAATACGAAAGAGCACTTTTGTTCAGATTGACAGAACTTTAAAAAACAATATTTTTGCATGAACACAAAAATTAAGCGTCCCTCTCTCCTAAACCGCAACAAATTATAACTAAGCTGGAAATCACATTCAGAAAGCCCAAATGAATCACAAGAAAACCCCAAAAAAACACATAATACAATGACCATATTCACGTTCGCCTTTCCTAAAAAAAGATAGAAAGAAAATAAAATGGAGGCGGCAAATTAAGGACTCCCACGTCACCCTCCGTGTCACGATTGAGTCAGAAAGAAAAGAGCACCTCCTCAACAATACCCTGATCTACCATATTGTGCATTCCATTTTTACAATAAAATCAGTTTGTTTTCAGAAATTAATGTATTAGTCATTTTAAGGAAAAGAATAAATCGCTGACATTAAACAAATCGAATAGAGGTATAATCTACCATATCCGCCATATGAAGCACAAACAAGGGCTCCATTGTCCAGCAATATATGAGCACATCGAGGACGACTTTGACGCGGTGTCAAGTGTAAAGGGGTCGGTCCTTTGTATCTCTAATGTTCACAAATAGGAAAAGCCCCTAAATATCCATATACATAATCATGATTATCGTGATCAAAGATAAATACACCAAATAAGAAACAAAACATACATATTAATATTAGCGAGATACGTGAAACGCCATAGCTCATCTGGAATTGGACACCCTGAAGTAAACATAAATATCTGTTAAAAAAATATAAGATTAGTGAATGATCTGTCAACATCACAACCATAACTACACCCAAGTGAATAAATTATTCAAGTGAAGTCCTGAATACCTGTACTTACAGGTCACTTATTATATAGCAAAGAGAAAAACAAAGGCAAAGAATTACTCAAGATCAGACGTTGCGGCCGGAAGCAGCAGAAGTCTCACTTGAAACAGTTCAAATTTTGGGGAATTTGTACATATAAATATACAATTGTTTTATGCACCACAAAATGAAATCAGCCCAAATATATTTACATAAGATGGAAAGTAATACCCAATTTGTAACTCTATAAACTGAAATACGCACCGGATATCTTCGCCGTTCGGCGGTCGCCATCGACTGCAAAATGAGTCCTGAAGCCTCCATCTTTTTGTACTGAAATTTTTACAGCAGCACCGACTGTTCCACCAAATTAGAAACGAAAAATTACAGCAAAGAAATAGAGGAATGAAATTGGGGAGCTAAGAAATGTCAAGATTGCAGGAAATTTTAGAGACCTAACAATTTTAGAGAATTAATACAATATATAGCAAAGGAAATATTGCACGGCTTGATAACCTGGTTGGCCGCGGCGCAATCTAATGTCTCATGTCCAATATTTGCAGCATTTTTGTTCATTTTCAACTAATAAACCTATGAAAGAGCTTTTAACTATTCTGAATTGTAACACCGAACAAAAAGCTGTTATGGAGTGAAGATATAGGTATATTACAAACGGAAATACGATTTATGTGAATGCTATCAGCAATCTTCATGCCACCAAATATAAATCAATAAAGTCTATTGGAAAAAAAACGAACGTTTATTATTTATTTATTTATTCATTTATAACCAGTTCCTATACCTATATCGAAAGCTGGAAAAAATGTTCAAGATCAACAAACATTGCTTCTGAACCTGGAAATACTGAACTAACCGGTAAGTTTAACAAAATTCTATGTACACATATATACACATGTATTAGGGGGGTTATAATTACCTGGGATGCAGAGAAGGATACCTCCCAAGGGCATCCAACCGCAACATTTGGGTTTTTTTGAGGAATTTGTACACGTAATAAGGAGAAAGAGCTTGCTATACATGTGTTCCAATGGAAAATATTGTATATACCAATGGCACTGATGCAGAAAAGCCATGTTATTATGACGGGTGCGAACAAGAAGCCGACCCTGTGGGTCCCATAACGTTGAAGGGCAAATAGTCCTATCGGTACCATACATGCAACCGGCAATTCCATGTCTGCACCAGTTAGATCGCATTGATTTATGAACAATAAGAATTTAATGAATGTCTCTCCAAGCCTCAAGCGTACCCGTAAGTAACATAAGTTGTGAGGCATGTTCATGCTGGCTTTGTTTACTTTCAGAACGGCACTGGTAAAGATCTAAAAAAACGTCAAACGTAACAATCAAACAGAATACAAGATCTAAATCAGGAAGCTAAACCAGATACATAAATCCAGATCGAGTTATTTCAAAGTTTTCCTGAATCTTTTATGCAGAACTAAATCATGTTCAAGAAAATCCGACAAAGTATATACACGAGATACATACACAAACCCGAAAAAAAAATGTCAAGCATTAAAAGATAATACAGTACCTGACGCAATCGCAAAAGCTACAGGATTTTCTGGTAGTGGGATGCATAGCATTGATACTTAAAAGTTATACATCGAATCAATAAATCGACAAAATAAATTGTAAATATGAGAACATACTTATTTATCGATAAAATGAACAATAGCTTAGCCTGTGGTCTAACATAAAAGCCACCCTCTAATCTCACTTCGCGCTTCAACTAAATCAACTCCTTATCCTAAACATACCAAATCAATAAATATTAAAGACTGTTGGTATATTTTACAAACAATTTTCCTTCAGTAATTGGGAATTGTCGAATCCCTATATATAAAATGAATTTATACATATTCATACAATTCCCATACACAATTCCTTAATAACACAATATAGTCTTTAATTAATTGCAAGCAATCCCCATACCGATAAACTAACACAATTCCCATTATTAATTAAATGAAATAAATATTAACTAACACAATTCCCGATACTAATACACTAATGGAGGATTTATTATAAAAATCCATTTGGAAGTTGTCAGGATGAAATAAATTTCCGAGCAAAATTTTGAGATGCAAATGAAAGAAAGGTATATATGAAAGCCAGTCCTTACAACTATTCAGAAGTAGTGCACCTGCGCTTCTAATTGATTCAAGAAGATTTCCATCTGCCTATCAAAATTTGGCAGCAAATTAAGAGCAAATCTGCAATTTTATCAAAGATGATGCAAGAGAGTTTTCAAATAAAGTGAGTTTTCAGTGAAATATGAATATTAAAGAAAAATAGAAAATGAAAGTACAAAAACCATGCGTACCTTTTACTGAATGAAGCCCAGAAGAACCTCAAGCTGGAACACACGTCTATTACGGTGTACAAGAAATTGGTTCAAAAATAGTCAAAAAAATGTATAATAGTAACTTCGAATAGGAAAAAAAATTAGGTACGAAGGGTCGCACATAAAACACTGAAGTCCAATTACAATAACAAGAACTACGTAACAGGAAATATGAGCTGGTCAGTTATGTTTTCTATGGGAAGCACCAGTGAAAACAAATTGAAGAATTAAGGTAATGAGATAAATATTTAGAGAGAGTCTATTGAATTCCTCCTCCCAAACGCAAATTCAGACCCGAGAACTTGCACCCACAGAGAAGAAACAAAACTGGAAGCAAAATTGAGAAATATTCAACGGTGATTCAGCAATTGTAGGCGACGAGTGAGGACGAAGAAGCAAGAGAAGAAAAAAATCGAGAACAAAAGAAAAGAGAAAAGAAGAAGCAAACAGGTCGATCATACACATCGTGAAAATAAGGGCAAAGAAAAGAAAGGACAGAGGCGTATAATAACACGGACAAACTGTAAGAAGAAGATAAAAAAAAATGAACCAATAGTATTCATCAATAAAGAATCAAAACATATAAATAAGATCGAGATATATGATGGAGGAAATAAGATCTCATGCTAGAAGGTGTTTAGGAAAATTTTAAACTCAATAATTGCATGGTAGGCGGTGTTTAGGCAAATTTCACAAGTATTATAAGATACTAACATATGCATTATGCACATAGTAAGAAACCATAAAAGGATTAGAAGAGCTCAACAATTTTAACCAGTTTTTTGTACTGTAATATGGATTGATTTACAAATGAAATTACGTACCATTCTTTTACCGTATGCATAGACAAAAACTAATACTTCTCCTCTTTGTCCAACAAGAAGGTCAATAAACTTTGCAGCAATTTGAAATCAATGAGGTGGTTTTGCAGCATGTTTTCTGCATACAAAGCCAAAATACCAGGCTAAAGGCAATTTTGATCGTGTTATTTAGCAAGGCTTCAATTAAGAACTGAACCTCAGATTCAGTCTAAGTATGAAAATAACAGCTGATTAGATCAAATCCTATATTTGAAGCCCATGTTGTGACTCATATCATCACACCTTTAAAATAAACTATCGAGTCAAAATTAAATAAATACTTGTAAAAATCACGAATATAAAGATATAAACATAAATAATTTAAAGTCCAACTATAACCGAAGCAAACTAACTCCCACACAAATAAAACAAGCATGCAAGAAGTAGAAAAAAGGGTCATCACTATATGAAAAGTTGAAGAGAAACAAAGCAGGCTACATTATATACCATTCGATAGCATCTAACTTTGAGCCATTTCTAAATTGTGGACAATTAATTGTAACATCAATCGAACTCCCATAGTTAATTGGTAATGCACAAATAGCAATAAACACGCAATGATTATTATTTTCAACGAATTGACTCTCACGAATTGAAACTAAAAGCCATATGCATCCCCGCGAAGTTTTGGCATCGGCAAGCGGGCCTGCCCTTGAAGTTCATTTTTCCCATCAGAGCCATAGACACGTAAAATGACATAATTTACTTTTACTGTTCCTAACATCGAAAAAAATACGAGAAGCACAAAAATTACCTTCAAACAGTTCTTGGGCCGAGGCAGTTTCGAGGACACACACTGCAGCCATCACACACGAGCAGATCTGAAAGCTAAGTGTTTCCAGTGAAATTGAAACACCAACTGAAAATCGACAAGGAAAATTAAAAATCGGTAGCAGAATCCATGTGCATACATCAAAAAAAAAAAAATATAAAACATAAATAATCCACCAAAAATAACAGTCTACCATTATCAACGAAGATAAAAAAAATAGCGAGCAAACAAACGACGGAGTTGTTTTCCCCCTAGGGAAAGGTAGACATTAAGATGAGACGTTTGCACGAAAGGAAAAGTAACACGAGAACTTGGAAATTTATAACTTGCCTAAACTCTACAACATGTTGTTCGCCACATAATTTGAATATTAATATTCAAAGACCGACAGAAAACAGAAGTAACAATGGAAAAGAAAAAACAGAACAACAGTGCTAATTAACATGAAACTCACCGGGCGGTGGCGAAATTATTGACAAGCTACTCAGAATCTTCAAAGGAAACGGAAACAACTTCAAAAACATCCTGCAGTTTGTTGTAGCTTGTATAGATTGATCATCCAAAAACATATTTCAAATAAAATAAGGAATAAAAAAAAATGTTAGACTAAAAAAATTTAAACATTTGAACCTCGTACAGAATTAGAGGCGGCAACATTTGTAGTCGGATATCCCTTGCTCCAAATATCGACGGCGTCCACGGAAAAGGAAGCACCAAATAGAGAAAGTTGTGGGCACTCAACGAAGCGGGCACGAGGATCGATTGAGGCGACGTCGAAACAGGTGCCGACACCGAACGGAGTGGCAGTGGCGGTGCGAGGTTGGCCGAGTTTTGAAGGAAGTTACTGAAACACCCCTGGGCAATCGCCGGAAAATAGGTTTAATCGAAATTAAATAAGAAATCAGAAAATGGGTGATGAAGAAAACATCGTATTCAATGAACCTCTCTGAGAATTAACAGATAGAGATGAGAGGATAAATATTTCTGCAGCGGTGGCAGGAGGAGGACAACGCACGTATGGAAGTGGGAGGAAATAGGGAACTGGCTAGGAAAAAGGGCTCCGTTGGAACTTGAACCGTAGAAAAGATATAGACGAGGAGGGCGGCGAGGCATACTACTGGAGGAAAAAAGCGGCGCCATGTGATAGGCACATCGGGCGAAGCGGCGGCGGACGCCCGGCGAAGCGGGTGGCGGAGGTCAACAGTTGTGGGCGCTGTGTGAGGCCGGGCACTGAAACGCCGTCGTTCTGCAGGTAGCAGAATAAAAGAAAACTAAACGCCGTCGTCTGGCAATAAGCGGAATAAAAAAAAAAGCTGAAAGCAAGCAGGCGTGTCACGGTCGAGCTACTTGGAAAATAAATGAAAAAGAAAATAATAGGAGACGTTGATTGGAGGAAGGAATTGAAACGGTGCAGTTTTGGAATTAAATGGGGCAAAAAAAAAGGAATAAGAAAAGGCATAAAAAGAAAATATCAGATCCCTATATATATATACTTAAGGAATAAAAAAAAAAGCTGAAAGCAAGCAGGCGTGTCACGGTCGATATATATAATACCTTTTTCTTTAATTTTTTAGCCTACCCAATTACATTATTTTATCCACTTACTTTTACATCACTTAAGCCCACTTATTCATAGCCGCCTCATCACTTCTCAAAGCCCCTCATGTCATCTTTTATTTCCTAACTTCGCTCTCGTTCTTTGAAAACGAAAAAAAAAAACACTTTGTTCTATTGCATAATCGTACTAATGGCGGTTAAATTGCTATCCCGCAGCAATCAATTAATGTTTGACGTCTTTTCTTTCATCTTAATTTTCATAATGAATATTAATTAAAAGTCCATTGTGTAAATTTCATAATCGACTTGATATTCATGTTTCTTAGATTTTTATAGCTATTTAACTTTCGCGATTCACTTTCGTATTATCTTCTAAAAATGGAAGGAAAAAAAAATTAATATCAAATTTCTATCTTAAATTTCTTTGATAGCAAAAAAATTTTTGGGGGCTCTGCCCCCGAACCCTTGATACGTTTAAGCCCCCCCTCACAAATATTTATGGCCTCGCCACTGCATCCCACAACAACTTCTAACCATTTCGCTTATCAAATCCACAACTCTCATAACCAACCCTCTGAAATAAAGACTTCCAAAAAAGATTGATTGTAACGAGTAAACAAACATTATAAATCACACTGACAGTCACATGTAGTAAAAACTTCAAATCAAAACCCCTACCTTAAATTCGTTCAATCCACCGCAAGTGATCACATTAATTCACCACGTTCCTCACCACGACCTATGGACAACCAAATAAAGAGGAATTTAACTTCACAATTGTTTTTTCATATACACACCTCAGTAAGAAAACAAAATATCTAACAATATCCTATAAGACTACTGTTACACACAATTAAACTTTCATCTGGTGGTTTAGTACAAAATGAGAAAAACAAATACTAATAGAGACCTACATCCACAACACACACACACGCAGTATACATATACTTATTTATATATTATACTCATGCACACAAGCAATCATAAATGCATAAACACAACACACAAGCACACCCACACGCGCACTCACACACACACACTGCCTATATATATTACCTTTGTGAATTAGTTGGGAAAATTACAGTTTATGTCCCTAAACTTTACCACTAAAACGATTTATGTCCTCAAACATTTCAATCCACGAAATATGTCCTCAAACTTGCCACTTTTGATCACTTTATGTTCTGTCGTTAACGTCGGCAGCTAACTTCGACGGAAATAGCACGCGTGGCTCACGTGACGTCTATGTGGCCATTAAATGTCGAGTTGTACAACACCCAGTGCCTACTTGGTCGACGAAACGTGATGTGGAGCGACACGTCATGCTCCTCCCCTATTTCTATTCTAAAATCCCTAATTCTCCATATCCCCAATGAACCCGTAAATCCAATCCCTAAAACCCCATTTCGAATCCTTCAATTGAGGTGAAATTCGAAAATAGCAGAATCGTCTGTGAATCCATGGCCATTTTTCGTGGTGTTTTACAGCAAAATAGCCCAATAAACAAATGCCGAATGTTTCCTCGATTTCACTTTCATCTTCGGGCTGAAATATCATGTCTTCTTCCACTTTGTTGGAGAAGTCGGGGAGCTGGAATTCGTTCTTGGGCACTCTATTCTTGGCGAAAAAAGAATTATATGCAGCTTTGACAGGTGCTTCATGTTTTGTTTTCCGGAATTGGTTCGGACATTTTGTCGAACACCTTCTGGGCAGGTTCTGAATCTGCTAAGTTGGGTAGAATTTGTGCCATCTTCACCATCCTTGTGCTCGCTTCATCGAGACCACAAGGGGCACAAGCATCAGCAGGCGAAG